TCTGTTTCCCATGTGAACAACACCTTACAAAAAAATCTTGCTGCTAGGCAAGAACATTTCACATTTGATAGATGATTTTGTTGATTTCCATTTTGATTTTTTTTTAATATTTTAACTACTCATTGGAAACTTTTCTTTGACTGCTCTTGGTCTTAAAGCTTGCCTTCTACTAAGCATTCTTAAGGTGATCTGATACAAACCAAGCTCCGTATGCTACAGAAAGATGGGAACACTTCCATACCTACAGTGTCTTTAGGCACAGAAAACAGAAAAGGTAAATATTAGGTGATGACACTACAAAAGAGAGAATTTTTCTTCATCTGGCACAAGCCCATGCTGTTTCTGCAAATAGCACGTAGCTTATCACTCCGAGAACAGCCATACTCATGACAGAAGTGCTGACTTTTTATTAGCTTGATTTCGTGCTCGGGGGAAGCCACAGTAGATCTGCAGCTACAAACCCTTTCCCTGTGATCACAGGAGCACTCACTGCCAAATCTCTGTTGTTTATTCCCAAAGAAAAGGGTGGAGTCTCTGCTTCCATATGCTTAATTGCTAACATTATCACACTCATTTGTGTGGAGTCAGGAGACTCCAACCATATCTGGCTAAGGATACAATATAGAAATGGTCCAGCCCTGAAGGGCTTCTACTCTAAATACATCACTAGAGAGAAGCAGCTAAAGAAAGAAAACCAGTAAAAACAAATGAACAAAAACCAGATGGAAGTTATATGAGAGAAAGAGAGAACAGGACAATAGTTATGAGCAGCATCATATACAATAAGCACAACTGCTCATGGATGAATGAATGATTTATAAAGATTCTGATCTCAGTGATGTGAATTAGTAATGCTTTGAGAAAGCTTGTTGTAGGGGACTTCGGTACAGAAATGTAAAATTCCTGGATCCCAGTCAGGCTTAAGCATGAAATAAATAGTGCTGTAAGACTCTACCCTGCCAGAAACTATGAACCTCTCCTTAACACACAAATGGGCTGAAAACTGAAGTAGCACTTTAAGGTCAGAAAGTAGAGTCTGGTAGTTCAGCAAGGGTTTCAAGACCATAGCTTCGGACTTAGGCAGCTAAGTTCCAACTCAGACAACTTCAGGTGCCTTCATCTCTTTTCATTATAATCTCTTGGGAAAATGTGGGAGGCAAAAATGACTAGACTAAGAAAAACAGTATGATTGAGGGTTACGCTGCATGCAGAATTCATTAGCAACAGTATGTGTCCAATAACAGCGTAATTCATGAATCATTACTAATGGCCACTAAACTCATGGGAAGTATCTTTTGTAATTACTCTTTGGCAGAAAAAAAATGAACTGAAAAACATTGCTAATAGAAAATAAACTTTATCTCCACAAAATAAACAAGCTACGAAGCTTGATCAAGATGATAGGATTAACATGAATAAGGGTACATTTTCTAATATTCTTCCCGGTCCTTTTGAAAATATTGTGGGTAGCTCAATGTACTGAAAATAAAATAAAAGACTTCTATAAAGAAATTACTGTTTTTTAAAATAACAAACTCAAACTTTTCAGGAAAAATTCAGATGAGAGTTATACATATTGCCATCACTTGGTTCTTCTCTGGCAGTGTATTGGGTTTGTGTGGCAAGGTTTTGGTAGCAGGGGGGCTATAGGGGTGGCTTCTGATAGAAGCTGCTAGAAGCTTCCTCTATGTCCAATAGAGCCAATGCCAGCCGGCTCCAAGAAGGACCCACCGCTGGCCAAGGCCGAGTCCATCAGCGACGGTGGTAGCGTCGCTGGGAAAACATATTTAAGAAGGGGGAAAAAAAACCTGTGCAACAGCAATTGCAGCCGGAGAGAGGAGTGAGAAAATGTGAGAGAAACAGCCCTGCAGACACCAAGGTCAGTGAAGAAGGAGGGGGAGCAGGTGCTCCAGGTGCTGGAGCAGAGATTCCCCTGCAGCCTGCGGTGAAGACCATGGTGAGGCAGGCTGTCCCCCTGCAGCCCATGGGGGTCCGTGGTGGAGCAGATATCCCCCTGCAGCCTGTGGAGGACCCCATGCTGGAGCAGGTGGATGCCCGAAGGAGGCTGTGACCCCGTGGGAAGCCCGTGCTGGAGCAGGCTCCTGGCAGGACCTGTG